CGTTTTTGAATTATCCATAGAGCTTATCCGAATAATAAAGTTATTGGAAGGTGGAAAAACTTTAGCGAGTGGTTTCAGGATAATCTTTAAAAATGACTTTGGATCTAAAAACATTTAAGGATTTTTTGAAAAAATTTTGACTAATACCTATGGAATTTTTGAAGAATCTTTGGGATCTCTAAAAACCACTTAAAAGTAAAAGTTTAAAATGTAACGGAATATACTATAAGTAATTACAGAATACAGATTACAAAAAAAAAACCCGGTTGAAGGGTACAAAAATTGTCTTGTAACAAAAAAAAAGCAAAATAAAATTATCATATAAACTTGGCCGCCATTTCAAAATAAACGAATTAAATGTTTTCAAATTCGAAGGTTAAATTAATCATAAAAAGAGTATCAAAATAAACTTTCAGATGGCCTAAATATGCCATAGAAGTTGTAGGAAAAATTCATTCATTAACGATGTGCCATACAAGGTAATTAAAATTTTAATATCGTTTCAGGTTACATTTTAGAGTCGCTGAAAGCACTGTCAGAGTCAGAGTTGTACGTTGATTAATCGTGAAGACTTTCTTGGCTTAGGTGTCTGAGCTATAACATAACCTACCAAATACAAAAAGAACCATCTAAAATAAAAACGCCCTATTATAAACTAAGTACTAAGGTCTAAAAATAACAGTCTAAGGGTCGACTTATACAATATCGTTCCTGATTGTATCAAAAAAAGTCGTTAAGGCGCACTATTAAGTCATTCTTTTTATAACGTTACTGAATATTTACTTGCTTGGAGAAATATTCATTAATTGTAATGATATTTATTTATTTCATTGTTTGTTTACTTTAATTTTGTGTACCTATGTAGTAGCATTATCTTTAGTCATTTTTACCTTTCTTGTTTATATTTGATCTCTGTTTTGTCCTTTTTAACTAAAATTTTAAATTGTTTATAATCTATATTATTCTGTTTTAGCCACATGGTTTGCCTAGCTTTTATTTATTTGATATATTAAACTGTTTTTATTATTCTTTTTATATATATGCATTGCACTAATTTAATATTTACTATATTTACTGACGTGTCAAAACCTATGGTATACGGACAAATAAAGATTGATTGATTGATTTATTGAAAACTGTAGGAGTAGGTAAGGCTTCTTCGTACCTTGTTTAGCACAGGTACGGTTTACTCAGAAAGAACCGCACGTTTGTATGTCGACCTAATCCTTTGTGCTCACATAACTTGCACTGGAAAGAGGATAATTCACTCCGCAGAAAACAGCCCAAAACCTTTGGCAAAAGGGAGTAAGCGGTCGGCGTGTCACTTTAATAATATTTGTGGGAACGGTTTGAATCATTAATAATAAATTCGACCAATGCAAGAAGAAAACTAATTCATTTAATTTAATAAAAGCGCATTAGACTTACTTGACCGTTGGTGGGTCAACATTCGCGCTACAGAAGGCGTAGGAAGGATTCTGATCCTTGTAACGGTCATTCTAAGAAATGACCGTCGTTTGTCGGCGGGAAATGTCCGCAGCATGAAAAAGAATGTGGATAGGATACGAGTATGTTTAACAGCTTTAACTAGAAACGCGCGGAGAAAGACGGACGCTGGACAAGGTTGTATCAAACGACGCATTTTTTTTGTTTTTTATTAAGCAAAGGAAAATGCGGATACTAAGGACATAGATAGCTTCAAAGTCAAGGCTGAGATTGTAAATAATTTGATGTTGTTTGTTAGCAATCTGCTTAAAACGCAAAAGATGATGGTAATCGTGATTAAGTACTTACATATTCATGGTTAAAGTTCAAGTGGAGACAATGGTTTTATAAGTTACGTAGTTAGGCTAATTACAGCAATCTGAATCTCGCAATGTATCATGCAATTAAATGACAATTATTAGAAGATTTTGTTCCTGTATACTCTGTACTGTATAGTCGCGCATTTTACCAAAGATAAGCGTTATCTATTGTTTTAATTATACTATACACATATGCTGCGAAAATTAAGTGAAACGTAATTACGCCTGCACGTGTAAGGCGCGTTTGGATCAACTCTATTAATATTAAAATATTTACAAAAATTATCACTGTACTATTAGAACATTATGATGCTAAAAGTTTTCTCTGCGATTGCCATTTGGCAATATGCAAAGTGTTGATGTTTGATGTATATTGACGTAACACTATCGAGTACCTGTTGTATGTTTTGAATTTGACTCGGAAATATTGAAATATTCATTTGTAGGCAAATGTAAACATATGCAAGGACACGAAGATCGCCACGCTACGCGAGTAACTACCTATAGTTTTTTACGTGTAATCTTTGACATAGAAACGTTAATGATGTATAGGACTACATTTTTACCTACTAAGCATTGAATAAAGATCCAAATTGTTTATTCAATGCTGGTCGGAGCATGTGCAACCCTTAGATCATACATACATATACCTATGATCTAAGGTGCAACCCCTATTCTTAAGTATGTGAACAAACCAATAAGTAAAATGACCCTTCAAATTACTATCGACCCATTCCATATGAAATCAACAAGTTTGAATAAAAAAGTGGACAGCGCGATTAAAAGTTGTATGTACCTACCTATTCAGCCTCACTGGTCCTCGGCCCTCTTAAGCCTTGAGGGTGATGCAAATAAACAACTCCATCCCAAAGAACCCTCGGATCAACGATCGTCGTCTTTGCCTCTCATTGCCCTCCCTGAGTCCCTGCATCACCTTCAGGTCAAGTTCACCCTCTAACTCTAACTCTCTAAGGATAATTCACCGACCTCCATATACATGGGTGCCTATAGTATACTCATAGGTATTGCAGAGTTATTACAGCAAATCCACTAATAACCCCGATATCTAGTAGCTTAACAACCCTACGATTTGAATGCGAATCCCACGAGGAAGGAAAAAAAATCTGATATTTTCATCAAATATACCTATACAGATTATACATTCATAACACTGCATTATCTTTGACGCCCCGATTAGCAGAATAATTATTGCATTTATTTGAAAAATCCATCCACAAGAACAGTTTGGCCACACGCAACAAACCCTCTTGCGGCATCGGGTAAACTAGCTAATTTCTGAATATCGTTATAAGAAATTACATAATTACCTAAAGTTTACCACGATATTCGACATAAATTTAACGACCCTTTAAAATTCCTAAAAAGATCGTCACTGCAAAATTATTAAGGGACCTTATTACTTATTAACTTCGCACGCGGGAACATCCTGATTGTCTTACACCCTCGAGCTGGGTTGGTAGGTAGGTATTGTTCAGCGGAGGTTACCCAGAGGACCCTCTCTAACGACACGAGAGGACATAGAACCCAATTAATATACGAATATACAGGTTGTAAGATAACTAAATTCGATCGTCGCAACCAACACATACACACATTGGATGTCACTTGTGAAATTCCCATTCAAATCCTCATAACGAGATACGTGCAGTGCAGTGCAAATCGAAACAAACCCAATTTCGAAATCACAACTATGGGTGAATCGTTAGATAGAAAAGCTTCTTATTTAAAAGTTCAATCCACCTTAAGGCGATTAACACGCCATTAGTTTTCGACCAACGTGCCGAACGAAAAGTTAACGGAACAAGAAGGAATGGAAGTGCCTTATTACACCATATTAGTCCTGCGCGCGCTAGCGTGAAAGAAAGCCGACAAACGGCATTAGTTAAACTTTAATAAAACCAGCGAATCCCAAGTAGGTATACCTTTATCTATAAAATTCAAAAAAATAAATCCAAATTTAAAGCTACCGGTACAGTGTTGCAAAAAAAGTAATAAATCTGAATTTTAATTATTGTTGTGTACCTATAGATATTGCTAGAAACATAAAAAATTTAAGCTAAGAAAAGCGACAGAACCTTCCGCATATGAAACTATACCTATCCCTACTATTGCTGCTGGCAGCTACGAAAACTTTCTATTTTTTCAATTTACAAAACAAGAATTTTGAAGTTAAAAGAACTTCCCAATACCTATACAAAAAGAATTGTATGCTACCATGACGATGAATTTTGGATTACAAGCAGCGCAGCTCTTAGCTACTTGTCATAGCAATACTTAAACCTTGTGTGTGCTGGAGACAATCCCACGAATTAGGTATTAAAAACTCCAGCTTGCAACGGACCACAGGTAATTATATTTTAAGTCCTCGACTAATGTTCCTATGCTTTTTTGTGAAAAGAAGATTCCAGGTTTTAAATTGTTTTGTATCAAAAACACATGTGCCGAATCGCACTTATCAGATCGATTTAATTTGCTAACAAATGTGGGACGAATTGAATTTATCCATAGGTACGTTTACAATCGGATTTGAAGGTTTTATCTATGATTATGTAACTAAAAACCATTTGTTTTGAACAATTTTCAAATTTATCAATTTTCATTTTTTTTCATATAAATTCTATAGGATAATGATAGTTACGTCACATCAATCTTTAATGTGCAATAGGATAGGAGGGTTGACACAGAATCCACAGTCACCATTTTGTTGCTAATTGATGCGTAAAAAATACCTACGAGTAAAGTAAATAAATACCTTTTGTAGTTACTTTTACTTAATGCTGTGTTTCTTTTTAAATAACGAATAATGATGCAGTATTGCAGTTGCCTAAAGTTAGAATACTCTTAGTATAGTTTCTATAATCAGTAAATATTGGAAAACGTACTCTGAAATATTGATAGTGATTAGTGAACTTAAATGGCCAATGAGGAATTTTGAATCAGTGTTTTATCATTGGATATACAATCGTATGCCTGTTATAGGTTAAAAATTATATACCTATTTTAATTATCTAACACGCCTTGCAGGAACACTTGTGCCTGGGATATTGATAGGGAGCAGCCAATAGAGAATTTTAAATGTGTTTTATTTTAAAGAAATGTATATAATATATTCGTTCGGTATTTCCATTGGCTGATGCCTTTACCGAAACCAACATTTCACTTTACTAGTAGGTATATTGCCAATACCTATTCATTGTTTAGCAAAAATTGTGAACCGGTCATGTAATTTGATGTCGTCCGTACTCTTTGTCACATCTCACATGTATCCTATCCCCACGTTCCTCTCTGCGATTACAAAAAGCAAATTCATTTTCCCTATTTTCTAGATGTGCATTTCCTTTTTTTTTTCGATCGCATGTTTCGAATCGGCTCATACTGGTTCGGGCTAAGGCTAATGCTAAACAACGTTTTGCAGCAATACGGGTGCAGTCTTACACACTTATACCACAGATTTAAATATTTAAATCTGTGCTTATAAGATGTGTTTTTAATACCTATAGAGATTGGGAATTTCCGTATCTTACTTCGCACGATTCTATTCGTAAATAACGCTTTAAATATGTTAATTAATGTTTATTGGGACTACGAAAACACATGCCAGACACCAAAACTTGCATTATTACAATACACGCTCAAACCGAGTTCTGTAGACTGTCGACAAAGTCGCGTTTATAATAATATACCTAATATTTAATCCGAGATTTAATCTTTGATGGTCTTTAAAAATCTCCAAAAGATTTCTATTCACCAAGAGACTTTTAAGACCTTTAAACGTGAAACTATGAAGAGGTCTCTTAAGAGTTCTTAAGAGTCGCCTACAATCTCGAAAAGTCCCCAGGGCCTTTATTGTTTTTACCAGTTTTATAAAGTTCAAGGATCTTTAAGAGCCGACTCGCTGAATATTTCGTATAGTGCGTTCTCTCGTGTAGACACGTGTAGGTATAGGTACCGCTCAAAACTGACGGCATATTGCTTAAAGTTACTTTGTCGCATAGGTATCATTCTGCATATGATATGATGATATGATAACGTGAGTCGAGCAACCTCTACTACTATATTACCAAATGCAACCGTGTGCGTCATATTGGAGAACCAAAATTTGTGACGACTAAAAATGGATAATCATTTGTGTCAATGACGATTCTGCAGGTATATACAGGGTGACAATTTGAAAACTTACCACCCCTCATATATCTTAGTAAATAAACGAGATATTTAAAAAAATCAAAATCCGTTTCGGTAATTCGGAGGGGGAATCACAATGACATAGTTGGCAACGCACCCCCTCCAACCCCCTGCGCCCCAGCCACACCAACTTTTAAATCTTAAATAGTGACCCCCCATGTGTGATACGTCGTTGGAAAGCTCTGAAAAAATGCTTTCCAACCATACCAAATAGCATTACATTTAGGTTAGTAATGATCGTGCAAATCAAAAAATAAACATGGAAAATCGTATTTAACTTGAACTTCCAAAGCCGACTTGACAGCAACTCATTTTTGATCGCCAGTTATAATCTATTCTCAAACTCTTGTCGAACCTTTTCAAATGTTGGTTTTACAATATTTCGACATTCTTGAATTATTCTCTGTCTTAGTTCGTCTATGTTCGCCGGTTGCGTTTTAAATACGACAGATTTCAAATGTATCATATTAGTTTATTTTTTGATTTGCACGATAATTACTAACCTAAATGTAATGCTATAATGGTATGGTTGGAAAGCATTTTTTCAGAGCTTTCCAAAGACGTATCACACATGGGGGGTCACTATTTAAGATTTAAAAGTTGGGGTGGCTGGGGCGCAGGGGGTTGGAGGGGGTGCGTCGCCAACTAGTTCATTGTGATTCCCCCTCCAAATTACCGAAACGGATTTTGATTTTTTTAAATATCTCGTTTATTTACTAAGATATGGGGGGGTGGTAAGTTTTCAAATTGTCACCCTGTATACCTATATCAATTTTGTTAACAAAAAGGTCAAACTTGTTGGGCAGGGTAAAAAATCGACAGATTACTATGCTGGTCATTATTTAGTAATACCTAGGTATGTTTATCTGCTGCATTTAATGTAGTATTGTTTGTTGTTATATTTATCTGCTGCCCTTCGCCCATTAAATCTCAGCTTTGCTCGCTTATGCTGAGATATTATATTATATATAATTTTCAACTGAGTTATGTAATATGACGTCTCGTTTTGGTGTTATCGTATAGTAGGTCTAATAAATTGTTGCAGGATCAAAGTACATTGTCGTTTTGTGATTTCAAAAATTAGTGAACGGCTGAGATTTGTGCAGCTCAGCACTAATGATTTTGTAAAAAAGTTCCGAAAACGAAAATCTGAGCCATGACTGCCATAAGATGGAGATTGCTCATTACCGCTTGTGTTATAGCAATAGCCGCCTTTCTAATAGTAAAGTCTAACAAAAATAACGTTTGCACAACGTTTGAGGACTATTACTCGGATAGAGATAAAAATCCAAACTGCTACTATAATCCTGATCACGAATTAGAAGTTGTAAGTATTAATGCAACATGACCTAATACTGAGAGTGTTTTCCATACTCACCCACTGTAATATGCTTTCAGCCTGATATCGCAAGACGACATGGATATCCAATAGAAATCTATAACGTAACAACATCCGACGGTTATATACTAACGGTATTTCGTATTCCTCACGGACGATTGAGTAACAAAACTTCCAAAAAACCACTCTTTTTGCAACATGGCATAACATTAAATGCGGGTTCTTTTCTAATAATCGGAAAAAAATCCCTAGGTCTGTGTCTGTAATACATAAACATTATTTCTGTACCTACTAATGCTTGTAGGTTTTATGCTAGCCGATGCAGGGTACGATGTTTGGTTAGGGAATTTTAGAGGATCTAGATACTCAAACAATCATACCCACTTAGACCACCGAAGTGAGTCTTACTGGAATTTTAGTTTTCATGAAAATGGAGTGTTCGACTTAGACGCGCAAATAAACCTCATCAGCACAGTCACTAGGCGAAAAATTATTTATGTTGGATTTTCAATGGGCACTACGGCCGCCTACATTTACTTTAGCACCTATCCGGATCAAGATAAGCTGAAATTCTTCGTGGGATTAGCTCCCGTAACATATGTAGAAGATGTATGGGTGATGAAAGTTCTTTTGAGACCTTGGACATTAGTTGCCGTAAGTGCAGTTAAATTGAAAAAGCAAAATCATACTACCTATATCTGCTCCACAGGGTTTCGTGCAGCGTCTCACCCATGGTAGGATGTACCCGAGACCTTTCATGCCATTTTACTTATACAAACTGATCTGTTTTCCGTATCCATTTCAAATCAAGATGTGTCAAATGATTGATATGCTCATCATGGGGTTGAATTACGAGGAAAATGATCCCGTAAGAGTGATACCGCTATGATTTCTGTTCTACGGTAGTATTTTAGGAAACGTTACCTGTCTCTTTGCTATACAACTCTGATGCGGTTAGTGTAAACACTTTCTGGCATTTTTACCAACTAGTCCATGCCAATAAATTTCAATACTTCGACTATGGAGAGTCGGGCAATCTTGAAAAGTATAATAGGTCCACACCCCCATTGTATGATCTGTCGAAGGTAAATGTCGAAAATCACTTATTTTACGCGGAGAATGACAAACTGGCACCGGTTAAGGTAGGTACATGCAACGTTCTTTTGCCCTGGATAATGATACACTTTTTTTCCAGAATGTCAAAAGACTTTTCGGTGATTTACCGAAAACCCATATCCATAAGTTCTATCAGGTGAAAGACGAGCGTTTCAATCACATAGATTTCGTTTCTGGGAAAAATGCGGATCGCCTCGTGTACCGACCTGTAATAAATTTGCTGAACGCTATCAAAGAGGCAGAAAATCCGTAACAGTGCTGCATTTAGAAGGTGGAGGTAGGTACTAACATGTAGCGTATTATGTTGGAAATTTTTCAGCAGAATATGATTTAGTGGTGACAATTGGTACCTAGTAAGTAGATAAAGGAAGTGCGTCAGCAGCCATCCCAGGCATTCAATACACAACCCAAGTTTGGAAACACTAACCATCGGTGTCGATGGGTCAAATATATACGCACGCATGTGTATAGTGTTATGACGTCGGTCTCATGGGCAAAAGTTGTAGTTATAACCAAAATATGAAATTTGTAGAAATTGTATACAATTTGTATTAATAATGTAATGTAAGTAATGTATATTTTAGTCGTAATATCACATTAAATGCCTGCGACACGTCCAACTACAGCAAAAATAAGCAGTTTACAATAAAAAAAAAGTACAAAGTACAAACAGACAGAGAAATTCATATAAAACTAACTAACAATATTAAAAATAAAAATAAGTCAAGTTAAAATCACAAATTAAAAACAATAAGTGTACTGAGGTATTTCTCGATGGAGTAAAAGCAATATAGGTACGTTAAAAAATGACCGAAAGAATATCTTAACTTCCATGGTGTCGCAGTGAATATGTTATGTATGTATTTATTTATACAGGGTGACACTTTTAAAACTTTCAATGAGCGATATCGTTTTTTATATTAGAGGTATCACAAAATATGGCCAAAACCGTTTCGGTAGAATCAAGGGGGAAGCAAAATGGTCGTATAAAGAAGGAACCAACTTCAACCTCGTACCCCCCGCCACCCCCATGCCTAAATTTTGAATTGTGACATATCACTTGTGATACATCATTGGAAAAGCTCTTAAAAAATGCTTTTCAGAAATACCATACACTGGTGCATTTAAACTGCCCATTCACAATTTATGTAATAAAAATGAGTAATTTGAGTATTTGATGAATTTGTCAGTTTGAAATAAAAAAAAATTTCTTAGATCTAGTGATGCTTCGGAAAAACATTGACAGCAATTTTTAGTAAATAATAATTTTCTATTGCTTTATTTGTTGATCGGTTATTATTATTTTAGTCTCGTTTTTAGTATTTCTTGGCAAGAAAATTACAAATTTTGAATTTAACTAAAGATTTCATAATGGTGTACACGTTAGCCGAAAGAGTTGAAATTATTTTCATCTATGGTTCTGAAGCGCGATCTGCATTTAGAACAGCAGCTGTTTTTAATGCCCGACACCCAGAACGACGTGTCAGTCACACTTATGTTGCTTATGTTAGTGACTAAATTTGAAGAAACTGGGTCAGTGGAAAATAAGAAAAGAGACGGACCAAGAATAATGGATGAAGCTACTCAGATTGAAGTTTTAGGTCATTTTGGTGCAAACCCAACATCATCTATTCGAAAAGCAGCGACTATGACCGGACTTTCGCGAGAAACTGTACGACGAACTCTTAAGGTGCACAAATTCTACCCTTATAAGATGCAGATTGTACAGGAACTAACCGAAGACGACTCCGATCGAAGAATCCAATTTTGTGAAATAATGACCGAGAATATTCAAAATAATCCGGAACTGGTGAAAAACATTTGTTTTAGTGATGAATGTACATTCTTTTTAAATGGAAATGTGAACAAACATAACTGCCGGTATTGGGACGATAAAAATCCTCATCTTTTTCGCGAGGGGCATACTCAACGGCCCCAAAAAATTAACGTCTGGGCAGGTATCTTAGGTGATAGCATTATTGGTCCTCTGTTTATCGAAGGAAATTTAACTGGAGATACTTACCTAAACATGCTACAAAATACCGTCGAGCCTTTCATCACTCATGAAATAGAGAATCAAATAAATCCAATTGACGGAAACATGAATTTGATTGAAGAGATTTCATACATTTTCAACAAGATGGGGCTCCTCCTCATTATTCTGGCTGTTCGTGAATTTTTAGATGAGAAATTTCCGGGACAGTGGATAGGACGAAGAGGTCCTATAGAACAAAACGGTGAACATTTTATTAAATAAAAGTTGTTTATTTGCGGAGTTCAAATTTTAGTGTAATAAATTGTGAATGGGCAGTTTAAATGTACCAGTGTATGGTATTTCTGAAAAGCATTTTTTAAGAGCTTTCCAATGATGTATCACAAGTGATACGTCACAATTCAAAATTTAGGCATGGGGGTGGCGGGGGGTACGAGGTTGAAGTTGGTTCCTTCTTTATACGACCATTTTGCTTCCCCCTCGATTCTACCGAAACGGTTTTGGCCATTTTGTGATACCTCTAATATAAAAAACGATATCGCCCATTGAAAGTTTTAAAAGTGTCACCCTGTATATTATCCCTCTCTTGGATTTTTGCATGTAGCAGATTTCGCCACCGAACCAGCGAATTTTAAATAAGCAAACAAACTCTAGCAATAAATGCTCCTACGGTTGTTACATCTATGGGGTGTAATTTCACCCTAATATTCTTTTATTGTGGGTGATTTAATTTAGGCTCGATCAAACAAAAAACTAACCATTTACAGATGAAACAAATTTATTCGACATAAATCTATCAAATAAGCTGAAAGAAAAATAGGCACTCAGGGACAGAAAAACAAATACTACGCAACAATTGCAATCGATAGAACAAATTAATTAAATAGGTTAGGAAACGAAGATCAAAAAATCCCTCAATTCGGAAATAAATAGTGCTCTTTTAAGTTGTAGGATTGACCCTTAGAAATACCATAGCAAAAGCAAAATTTTGCAACGAACCTAAGAATTGGGTGCCAGAAACATTGTCCTCGTTTATGGAAATCTTGTTGTCGAAAGAAAGGGCCAAAAGGGAGGATAGAACAAAGATCAATAGCCATTTCTCATTCACTTACTGCTGCCAGTCGTTCTCGCATCACCCATTCAATTCACCGAAGATTTGGGTCACCTTTCAAATTTGGGATTTTCTGGAACATATGATGTCACCCAACTGAAAATATCAATACTCAATCATCCTGTGCAGGCTATTCCAAATTCACAAAATACGTATATATGACCAACTACAACACCTCGAAGGTTGATGAGTACAATACAGTCCACAGTCTAATCTTTTAACATGTAATAAAATTGAACAAATAATTGAAATACAAGGTGATTATTTAAACAAAATTAACAACTAATAATTCTGATACAAAACAAAATTGACCTCGAATTCAACTAATATGCTAGAATCTTGTGTCCAATCTGAAATTACAATCAACTTTTAACGTTCAAAATAATGGAAAGGCACATACAGGGTGTTACCATCGTTATTGCAGATGCAGAAGCCAAATAAAACGTCCGCATGGCGTAGTTTACCCAACAATGTTTGAAAATTTCTACTTTTAAGCCGAAAAATTTTCGGGTTTTGATGACTCATTCTTTTGCCTTCATTCTCATAACCAAAAGGGTATCTTTTTGCGAGTGCACATCTCAAAAATCATCAGATTAAAAAAAATGGTATCAAGTTGAAAGTTGGGATAGATAAAAAGGTAAAAGAGTCCTTGTGTGTGGACCACTTGGGAATCAATCTGACCCCTAAGGACCCGCTTTGCTTCTTCTCGGTTAGGAGGATGATGCGCGCTCGAGGAAAAGCACGTGTGATTAAACAGTGCCATTTTCAGAGTGAGGAAAGTAACTGTATATGAAACGAAAAATGTGCTAAACTCAGGCTCTTGTAGAGATATTGACGTGGTATCAGTATATACATCAGTAAATAAGCAAGATGGATATATCGATGCATAATCCCCAAAAAGTCCTTGTGGATTATAGTGAACAAAAACTTAATCCACTCAATTTCCTTAACTGCTGCCCTACCCGATTCTGTATAATTCATTCACCAATTACGTGTAATATCGTTGATAAGCGTAATTGAGATCATTAAATTGAAATCGGCGAACAATGTTTTCAATATTATGTGATGATTGAATCACAATTGATTTATACGCTGGTTGCGCTTTATAAAAAGAAACTCCATTCTGTTTTTTATTATTATTATTTTTGGGAAAAGGTGGGTAGGTAAGGCTTTATTTAAATACCAATAACCTTCAAATAAATTAGACAATATTTGATTAAAGTGCAGTGATCCCCAAAGTGACATCAGGGTCGATAGTACTTAACTCAATATTTTAAAAAATGCATTCAATGATTTAACCAATCATAAATAGGAAGTTGCAAGTATACGTACTTGATAGAGTAATCTAATTTGATACATTAAAGAATTGATTTTCATTATCGCTTTAGTCACTGAAATTAATTTTAAACGATTCTTTGCATTTAATTTATTATACAGTGCTTTAGGCCCCACCCAACAAAATGTTATCTTAACAAGGGCAGATACAGTGGTTTTTCCTTGATTTTATCTACAATCACTTGACGTTACAGAAAAGGGATGTGCATGTTCAAAAGCCAAAATTCGACCACGTTCACGTCAGCATCCTTTAAGTGATCTAAGTTGTATCCCCCACATCGAACATTGTACAGATTTCTGTTCAAATTCAAAATATTTTAGATTGCAAATGGTACATAGTGGTCATGCATGCCTTTTCATCTTCAAGACGGGGAGCAAAAGCTCTTTCAGTTCGAACCTCAGCCGCTGGTTTGGAATATTTTATTGGCAATTTAGGGAAAGTAATATGGATTAAAAGCGGTTGAAACTCCTACAAGAGCAAATTGGCCTTAAATGTGTTGCCAAAGGATATTCTGTTAATTTTATTGAAAAAGGTCAACTGTTACTCTCCAATCACTGGGGCAAACTAAAAGCAACAAAAATGAACATAATTCAAACACAATCCAGCACCTTTTATGTCCCCTTTGACTCCACCTGTTTCCAAAGAACGAGTTTCAATTGATATGGGCGATACTTTAAGTATTTGTTTAATTTTTGTTGTATAATTTGAGACTTAAATTGCAGGTTACGTTTGTTGCGAACCAAACTAGTCGCACACTTGCAGGTGACCCCGGCGGAAATTACATTTGTTCGACAAGGATCTTCTGCAGGTAAATTAAAGATGCTCAGTATACGGATATTAGACCGTTATCTAATACAAACCGTTATAAAACATACTGGTATTTTTACGTAAAAAATACTAAACCCGAGTTCTAGACAAATTCTCCCATTCATAATTTGGAAGTTGTTAAATAATTTATATGAGATCAACTGAAGAATGCACTGCTGAAGGCACTTCAATCAATCCCATTAAGGAGCGTAACGACGTACTCTTAATAAAATTCGCAACATTCGCCTTGTGTTAAATATTAACAACGTGGAAAGATGCGCAAAATATCCAGACGAAATCCCACTCAGCGAATACGTCAAACTCGTTTTACCAAATTCGGAAGAACCACTTGTAAATCGGTGTTACTGCCTTTGTTCTCTATTAGAAGGAGTTTGGGGAACTGGCCTCCTTGTACAATTTCTACGTCCGTTAAATATAAAAAAACTTACCTTTTTTTCGTAAACGAGTTCTTGCAAATTTTCAAATTAGACGCGCAAAGATATCCAATACGTGGGTGAATAATTGCGCCGGAACGTATCTTACACTGTAATTTAAATTATTAATCACTAAAATTTTGAAATACTGCACAATTTTGAGACGTCAAAATTTGGACATTTGTAATTTAGTAATAAAATTCTAGTTAGTGTATTTTCCGCAGCTCACAATACACGGCATTTCGAAGGTGAGTATAGCTGTCGGTTTTTTCTGAAAGCAAAAATGTCCTAATGTTGCGGTTTTCAATAGATTTGGTTTGTAGCTCGAAATTATCTACTTAGTTACGCAGACATTAATTTTTCATATACGACACTGCAATGTTTATAGTTACATACCTGTACCACATACTGTCTGTGCCTGTACAAAAGACCAATTTACTTGTTATCACATAATTTCCACCATTACGGTTGCTATATACGGCTAAAAATAAAGACCTCTAGGTTTTTATGTCATGCTCACCCTCAAAGTTTCATCGAAATTTGAAACTACCCTTAATCAAATTTCGAAACCGTCACATGGGGTTGAATCTCGAGGCTGACCCGGAAGAGACTACTCTTTCTGAGGAGAAGGCACCCCCATATGGTAAATATGTGTTCATTGGTAATTTTGGTAGTTAATCTTTATACCAAAAACAATATTTTTAAATTTTGAATTCACATAAAAGTACGGTTTTGATTAGAAGTAATGTCTCTCGATTACCTACCTCAAGTGTAGCACATAATGAACGTACCAGATCTTCTGTGAGTTCTGAGCTTGTTTTCCAAATGAGGAAAGTCCCTAAGAATGAAATTGAACTAGATCACGGAGGAACTAACATGTTAGTACTGTTTCTACATCTACAATTGAGGTATCTGAGAGAGAACATTACTTCTGACTACGACTCTATATTCAGGAACAATATGAACTCAACTTTAGGCCGGAGACAACGTCTAACCAACCAGATAGGTGTTTGGTAGTTCTGAATACTCTCCAATAGAGCCTTTCCCGGTGCATCCGTTGGAAGTTTTAAGGAACGAGAGTGGTTTCTAATTTATTCATAACGGTTCAGTGGCGAATTATCAATGATGCACAATATTCTATAGCCTATAGGAGCTCAGAGAGGTGGAGAAGCCCTAAATGTACTTTCCCTACATTAATAGCCGTTTGAACTAAAAAATGTAATATAATTTTTCTTAATTGTAGCTCAAAATCTATGGGAACCCTTGCGATGATCCTAGCTTTAAACTACCATGGAGAAAATACCAACCTCTCCTCCTCTTCATTACATTCATATGAATATCTACTGATTTGTGCTGTTTTTTTTTTTTGAAAACGTAACGTGATTTATTTATTTACAATTAATTAACAATAATGCATTATATTTTTTGAATGCTCTTAAATTAAGCTTTCCAGAAATATGGGGGAGACTGTGGCTGAAAGTAACAGATTTTAAATTATTACCAATAACTCCAAAAATACTAAGAAATGCAGTTCCCGTAATCCACAACCGCGCATAATGTGTACTCCCGTTACTTTCAGCTCCAGCTCCCTTAACATATGCCCCGTGTGGCCCTCGAAACCCAAAATCTTCCTTAAGTCATGACCTCTGTCACTGTACACCAAATTTGAGCTTCATATATTATATGCGTTCTAAATAATAATTTGTACACAATCATCAGCTTCTTAAATTGACATCTATTTCATATTTGTATACTTAGGCATCGTAACAATAATGAAACGTTTATTGGTGTTAGACGAATGTGTGGCTCAGTTCGACTACGGTTCTAAAGTCCCTGGTCTGAATCCGGCCTCGGACATGTATATCTGTAAGTTTATAGCGGGTTGGATTGGTAAAGTAACCTTGGTTGAAACTCCGCCCTCTTAAAAAAAGGTCAAATAAAATAAAATAAATAAATTCAAGCATAATAGGAAATTAACGAAAATTTAGGATCAATTTACCAATTACGGCGTATTCGCTTTACACTGACGCGTCTTTTAATTATTGGCGATTAACATCTACGGAGTATGACTTCGATTCATTTATTGTAATGCGATCTTTGTCAATAATTCTTATTAATTTTGACGTTACGATACAATACTGACATTAACTAGTATCTTGATCATACAAGCAAAAGTCTTGATGAGAAATTTGCACTATCGCTAAGTAGTTAACAGAGTTAGCGTACTGGTACCATAGGACCAAAAGTTGGAATTAAAACATGCACTTTGGTCCCTTAATTGTCTATGAAAAATTGGGCACTCGTGCTTTTGTTTTTTGATAGCAACTCTTTGTAATATCACTATACTACTAAAATAATTAGCAGGATGCTATTTCTCTAATAAAATAATTGTTAACTCTCAGAGAGTAGATATGTGTGTAGTCTATATTATTATCTAAGTACATTCAAAAGTTTAACTAAGAGCTTAACAATCACGCCTCTCAGAAACCCACTTCGTTTTGATCAAAAGATGAATGCAGCCAATGAGAAATTTCTTAGATTTGTTACATATATAGAAACTATATAGAGAATCTATCCAAATTCGCCATTGTTTCCATTGCATAGCATTCGTATATTACTGGTTGTCTGCATGGGCAACATTTGACATGGTATAGGGAGGGATACAGTCAATTCGCTTTTTAGAAACGATTGGTCAATGAGAAAATAATCGTTCATTATTATACGTCTTTAGTGTATAATTTGTGGCTAATGTTAAAAGTGTGTCCACTATCCCGTCTGTAACGATTTCTCAGATTCTTTTCATATAATATATGCGTTGAATGGTTCTTTTTTGCATCTCATAAGATAAAATTTGAGAAAAAACCTTTGTTATTAGAAAGTAGCGTGAACATTGTGAGCAGTTACTTATTAACAATGTGGCAAAGTCTGAACATTCGGTCGGCCGGCTGTACATCCGTCCGTACGACCGTTCGCATAAATATAAAAAACGCTTTGACACATACAGGGTGATTCCTATAGTACCTGCCACCGTTTGGGAGCGTGTAGGTGGTGCGTAGGGGAGTATTTTGATATAGGACACTTGGGGTCGGAAATCTAAAATAAGGGTGCCAGAGCCAAATTTACCTTCTGGAATTTCGCGCCTGTAGGTAGGCAACCCAACCGGCCGGCGGTGCACACGGAGCGATCTCAGGCGGCGATGTGTGGCTGACACTTGATCAGAATTTTGTTTAAACCCACGAAATCCCGTCTGCAACGACGCGTATCAAGTGAATAAACACTATGGCAATAGTATAATAATAGTTGGCTAGATGTAGGAAGTGCATTGAGAACAACGGTGGCCACGTTGAACACTTGTAAACGTTATTGCTTTTGACTGTCGTTTTCCCTCCTTCCCTCCCATGTCGCTTCCTCGCGCTAACTCGCTCTGCATCGCTCCGCGCGAAACGTCGGTCGGTTGGGTTGCCTACATACAGGCGTGAAATTCCAGAAGATAAATTTGGTTCTGGCGCCTTTATTTTAGATTTCCGACCCCAAGTGTCCTATATCAAAATACTCCCCTAGGCACCCCCTATACGCTCCCAAACGGTGGCAGGTACTATAGGAATCACCCTGTATACCTCGCTCAAATTTGGTGAATAATATCATTTTGATTCAAATTTGGCGATAAGAAACAACAACTGCAATTGTCTTATCTTAATAGTTAATAGAAACTCCACATTGGTTAAATATTGCAATCTCACTGCAAAAAGTCTTTGAATATAAAATTAATTTTATATTCAAAGAAAAAGTAGCGTGTCGAAACTGATTAGATTAAAATAAGGATACGCGCGACATCTGTGCGGTACTTAACGAACTGCATGCCTTATAAACAACGTAATTATTCAAACGAAAGTGTCAGTGCAAGGAGATCAGATAGGAAACGGTACTTTTGCTAGACAATATGTTTGCAATTCGTAATACGCTTCATTTTTGCAATATTTCGCCTATTCGTCACCTATCAACAATTCCATTTTCTAGTGACTTCATTTTTCGACAGGTCATTTGGTTCCAACTGTAAGGTCTGTACGTTTTAATTTAATTTAATTGCAGTTATTCGACGCGACGAGCAGCACGTACACTTATTTACTTGCGGATACGACGACGCGGGAAGCCGTCCTTATCGATCCGGTGTTTGAACATGCCGGGCGGGACGCCCAACTTTGTAAGGATTTAAATTTAAACCTGAAATATGCAAGTAAGTTTCATTTAATGCCCGTATTATAAGCTCATTTTAACACGATTTCGCCAGGCTCAATAAAATTTGTAATAAATGGCTACTTGACCTTAACCCATTGGTGATACTGATAAGTGGTTTATTCGTTGATATCCATAAAGAAAATTTTATTTCTTTCGCTTTTCATTTCTTATTAGTAATTATCTAAATCAACTGCACGAATCGGAAAGGAAAACGGTCATTAAATAATAGAGCAGTAATACAAGTACAAGCTGACAGTGTCTCGAATTTTGTTCAGCTCGGTAAATGCATTTTTGAAAAATTCGTATATGGGAAATTTAAACGTCACGACTAGCACTTTTTTAAGAAGCTTTTTAGATTTTCTATTCTACTTCTCAATCAGGCAGGAGTAACGGCTCCATTCTCTTCCTGTGAATTCGATTTGTACTATGACGTTATAAGTGGCGCACTGGGGATATTTGGCCCACAAGAAAAGCCAATTGAAGAAGACATTCATCAAACACCTCGAAATTGGAATAAAATTAGAAATGAAAAATTTGGACCTTAGTCAGCGGATGTTTCGGTGGTGAATTTTACTGAAGAGATCTTAGTTGGTCTTTACTATTTCCAATTTTCCTCATCCTCATTTGTTGTAGGTAGTAGGTAGTTATTTTGGTTGCACAAAATTAAGCGTCTTTCAGGAGACTTTTATGTAAAAGTAAACAGGAAATTCCTATAGGAAATCCATATGTGTACTTCTACATTGAATATCACTGTATACAGGGTGGTGACTTGCGGAAAATTGGAAAAATAAATCCCGCATCTTTTTCAATAATCTGTGATGCCATGTAATTTTATAATACAAAACCTACACCAATATCCGTCATGCCATGGAATGTCTGCTATAAAACAAATCAAATTCTATCAAAAAGTATTATATTTGGAACTCGATTTGGAACAGCGAATTCAACATAAAGAGAGACCTAATTACTAAAAACGGTTTCCTTTATATAACAATTTACAATAAATGTTCGAATAAGTCACCATTAAGTGCAAGACAGTAGTCGATCATAAAATCCATTTCGAACTGCTGCTAATTGATAACTGGATATCTTTTTGTTTTAGAAAATTCCATGGCATCGTAGATTATTGAAAAAGATGCGGGTTTTATTTTTCCAATTTTCCGTCTTTATTATGCAAAAAATTGAAACATTAGACGTCAAAAATTTTTTTTCTTCAAAAAACCGTAATACATTTTTGCTCTAAAATAATTTGGGGAGCCGATAATCGCATGTTATGAATTTTACATTGAAATCCCTATGATGCGTTACGCAAGTCACCGCCCTGTATAGGAAAGACAGCATTCGGACAGGTGAATGCCAATAAAAAATGGATCCAGCAGTGCATTAGTTAGATATCTAAATCAACCATGCGAAGTCCGAGGGGTTGTTTTTATATTTCTGGACTAAGCTGTTTTGAATCTTGATGCAATTTTCCATTATGCTGTTTTTTTTATCACATATACCATGGTGTGGAGATTTACAAAACAATTGCAGCATTATTAATATTATTATCTGTCAGTTTCTGTCGTCGAACGTCGTATTTGTATCTAAATGAATAAAATCGAATACCGGGCTGTTATAAAATTCCTTAAAAAATAAGGAAAACCTCCAAAAATAATTCTTGAGGTAACGTTGGTAGTATACGGAGATGATTGTCCTTCTAAGCCAACCATTTGCGAGTGGTCAAAATTCTTTAAACATGGTCGAGAATCACTGGATGATGATCCCCGTCTAGGGCGCCTTGTTGACGTGATTACTTCAGTTGTTGAAAAAACCAAGCGTTTGGTACTGGAGGATGCAAAACTAAAGAAGAGACAATTAGCTACTTCACTAGGAGTTTCTGAAACCACGGTGTTCAGAATTTTACATGGGTGCCTAGGGATGACGAAGCTTAGTGCATGATTTAATTCAATCGACTTGTCACTGGAGATGGAACCTGGGTTCATTATTATGATCCATCCCTCCCAAGTAGTAAATTAAAATAATGGCAACGCCATGCAGGTACATTTGTATCATTAAACGGTTTCACGAATGTCATTAATAACAATGGTGTCGCCGCGAAGGCAACCGGCGAAAGAACCGACGAGAATGCAAAAACTTGAAGCTCCTTGAGCTCAAGATTTTGGGGTACCTACTACTTTAATGAATCATAGTTTTCCAATTAATTTTGATTTCGTCCCGATTTACCATGGTTATACCTGGGGAGGAACAGCTAATGGGTAGAGCACACTGGTCATAATTTCGATCAAGCTAACCATATACATTCCATATGGACCTGTGCTATTAAACACAGGTTGATACCTCCGGCCAAAAAATGGTAGTTCAAATTGAAACAGGAATTAAAAATCGTGTGAGTGGGGTGAGCAGTAGGAATCGGGCAAATGGAGTGGCATTTAGAAAAATGTAAATATCGGTCTGTTCCTATCGCTCCCTCAAGATAGTTAAATGATTTTATAACTGCTTTTTTGGTAACACTGACTCGGAAAACGATTGAAAAAGGAATGGAAAGCATCATTAAATGCATCATTCATTTAAAATTTCCATGAATTAGGTAGGCTGCATTCAGTGATTGTCAAAAACTTCATCGTATACAATAGTTGTGACCTTTGCGTCACTGGTTTGTGAGCAAATTTCGAACGAGTTCTTTGTTAGAGGGAATGGTGACAATTTTAAATAGGCAGTTGGAAATTGGTCCACAATCAAGTGATAAAAATCATATTTCTTTGGTTAAAACGACCATATGAATCTTTATCTTTCCAGCCTTTGTTAAGAGACTTGTATAAAATACATCAACGATATTTTTTTACCCAAAATCGTCCTGAAACCTCCATTTTCATGTCTACTTTCTGTCAAGAAATTTTAATTTAGAGGCAGACTACTTTACTTCACTGACTTCACTTTACTGATTGCACCGTCAATTTACCGGCCGCATTTGTGACAATTCCAAATGTCTATAATGACTCCTGTCATCACTGACAGATTTGCATTAATCAAAAGTTCTATATAAAAATTGAAATTTTATATTAAAATACGATTACGGATAAAATTTATTGAACGCCAACATTATTTTCCAAAAATTGCGCAAGTGTAAAAACAAGTGTGTAAGTTACGCTTTTTTGCTTCTTTTAAGCATCTTGGGCGTTTTTTTGACATGCGCATTATCGCACTTCAATATTTCCTCGCCAGTAAGTAATGTATCATTTTCTTGACTTTTATGCAAATAACTATTACGAAATATTTCCACATCAGAAAAATCACTTTATGTAATTAAATTTTACTTGTTATCAAGAATGTTTAAGAGTGATAATAAACTCACGAATCAGGCTGGGTTATTTACTAACTTTCTGTAATTAATGTCGCAAACGACTAACATAAAATATTTTACTACCCCGAAAAGGTCGAATAATTTTGCGTATAATATAAAGTGCTTTACGTTAGCTACAATTAAATTAGTACTTTGTGCCGTATTTTTTCTCGTCTTTCGTCATTGTGCTAATGCTTTCGTACAGTTAATGAAAGATGCATACCATAAGCTCAAAACAAGTATTATAATGGTCATATGCCATTGTGTGCTGTTTGGCTGTCAAGATTTTTATATCTATTTCGATTTATTTTTTGCACAACTTCCGTGGCAAAGTTTATTTTTCCTATCTTGACAATTTAAAATTTATAAACACCGTGCGTATGTTGGCCATAAATAATAGTGGCATGCACTAAAGTCTAGTTTATAACCTGTACTTGCTTTTAAGGGGTGCCTATGCCATTTACTCGCACACGAGGCTGTAAATTGATGGTGGCGTTTTAATAACGAGCATACTATAAAATAATTCCAATATAAAGCACATTCTTATTGCACATGATTAGTTCTAAGCTCTAAGAGGAGGGCACATGTTTACGATTAAACTGCACCCATTCATATTTTTGAGCTTTTCAACGCGGCGGTCCGCAATTCTCGAGTTTTTATTCAACTTTCACGCCAACACTACAAATAAACCCATTTTATTATTATACTAAATTAATAAAGCCTGTAACTAACAACATTTTTAGATTCTTCGAGGCAGCTTCGTTCATTTTCGCAGAAAAATTATTCTGCGTAATGCAAATCGTCTTTGAACATTTTTTTTAAATAACCCATTTTTGAGTGGACAATGTTCACCTCATCTGCCTCAGTAGTTCTTTTCGTAGGGTATTGCGCAGTATGCTATCCTTTTTATTATATTTTAATGAATTCATTTGCAATTCTGGCTAAAATATAGTTACGAGAGCTGACTGAATAAATTTGCACTATTCAATCGAGTTATTACCTAGGCGAAATCAATGAATCGGCAATAATTTCGAAGTCCGGCGAGTTTAACCCGCGTCAAGTATTAATAATTAGGTGTTTATCAACCAAAGTGGATCGAAAGTTTTTTGCCGCATGCAAGAGGGTAACTTGGTAATTGAATTTCCTGCTTTGCATTTAAATTTCGGTTTTGAATGGAATAATGTATAAAAATTCGAGGCATTGTTTTGAAAATAATTGAAAGCTACAAAGCTGCAGAATGTTAATAAATTGCGTCGCTTCGTTAATCAATAGTGCGTAATTATATAAATTTTGTTGGGGGAATTTAGGGATCGGCTTTAGAAATCTAAATAAATTGAATATTGGAAAATAACCGTAACTTGCAAATTTAAACCTCTGCAGTTTGCATTTTAATTTGCTAATCTTACTTATATAGGGTCTTTCATTCTACTTATGCAAATCTCTTTATAATCAGATGAATCTGTATATCATTAAGTTGATGTTTTTAAATTTGATTTTGTAAAATGTAAAACTGAGTTCCCATTTTGAAGCGCAGTTATATTATGTTAGGTGATCCATGAAAAAGGATTATACGCTTTGGAGTGGCGTTAGAAATACTGCATTTGCTCGACAAGCAGGCCTCATACCATTATACTTCTATTAATTAGCAAAATTATAATATGCAATACCGGGCTAACCGTATTAATAATTCAATATCATCTATGTACGTCGCGAGAGTATGCAAAGTATGTTTTCAGCAATAACGCGAATGGGCATGGCACGATTACGCGAAGTTATTAGTAAAACACTTTTTGGAATAATAGCATAGCATGCATACGATTGGTTGAGCTCAACAAATAATTTACCCACTTGATTACACTTCAGGTTACATTCTATTTCAAATTGCTTTTTGATGATACGCGACCTGAGAGTAATTTTTACGGCCCGTGGGTTTATCAGGTGAAACTTTTTGTTAGCTAATATGGAGTAATAAGGGTAAATATTGATCTCTATCTTCACTGCACAGTTACAGAAACTCGTAAAATTTCACAGCGTCGGTCGGTTATTATAGATTTGAGAATCCATTAGTTAGATGAGTGCCTTATTTCTTATCTATGCACTAAGCTTTCATATTATGGAACAGTTGCGTAAATTGAATTTCGGGAAACTCCGTAATTCTAGAGTTAGTCAGGAATACTGTCCAGGAAAATTAAATTATTGAAATTCGAACCAACAGAGTTTGAGAAGTAGTTGTTCAACCGGAAATTACGTCTCTACTTTATCATATTTCGAATGCGCCGATTAACTTCCTGAATGTTTATGATTGAACTCTAATTAAAATCCATTTTTACCCTAATGCTTGTTTTTATTTTCAGTGAATACCCACATGCACGCTGACCATATAACTGGAACTGGAGTGCTTAAAAAATTAACAAAATGTAAAAGCGTAATATCGAAAGCGAGCGGTGCCGATGCCGATGTACATGTGAACGAAACTGATGTTGTAACTTTCGGTAGGCATAAATTACAAATTTTTGCAACACCTGGTCACACTAATGGTTGTATTACTTATTATTCACCCGAACAGGTTTGTACGATTTTAATGTTTCATTTCGATTCCGAACAAGAATTGGAAAACACGAAAATACGATAACATTTACAATGTTTCTGTTTTCCCTTTTACGAGTTAACAATGAGGCACTGATGCAAATTGTAAAGCTTTGTCAATACCCTTGTTTTATTCTTTGGCGATCTATTATTCCTTATTGCTGCGAAATGTTTGTGCCGTCAGTAAAATAATAAACAACTCCTAACTTATTTATACTCTGTTTTACATTGTCTTGTGTTTATAGGAACTTCGTGATTTTTACCAAATTTTCTATGCAAGTGCATCATTTGGCATAAATTATGTAGGTAATATCCCTTAAATACATTCCTGTTAGTGTAGGAGGGTGAAATTGGAACTTTCTTTCAGGCTAACTTGCATTTAAACGCTAAATATGGCTATCAATTTGTGTTTCACTCAGAACCTACGACCGATAATCCTAAATGGACCAATAAATTGTCATTTAACGTTAAGCCTTCAATTAAATGACCCATACCTTCTGTGGAGAGTCTGCGAATGTTTATCCAAATTTTGACTCTCAGTCATCAATCATCATGTAAGAGTCCCGAGGAACCTAACCCAGAGATGCGGTTTCAAGGGCTTCCTCTGTCACAAGTAGTTCTTAAAAACGATAGGCCTGCAATGTGGATTAGGCCAAATGTTATCTCATTTTTCTTTTACAATGCATTCTGTTCTCATGGAGGGTACTAAAATAAAAAGTAATCGTAAATCCTTTGGCTGACTGTATTAAATTTAGATTTTGATTTCGGTGTTTTCTAGGAATTTTTATAAAAAATTGGATTATATATAAGTTAATCTTGTAAAGTTTTCTCTGAAGAAAGCACGGAAATATAACGAAGAATTGATCTGCGGTTTAAGGTTGCTATAAAATAAGCCATTACCTATACATTATTAAAGATCGTCAAACGAGCTCCTGAGTATAATTACAAGTTGCTTGACTTACATTATTATTGTCGACTGTGATACATTATTCCGTTGATAAATATTTAGAGCCATGTACGACCTTTTACGTTGATGGTATTCATTTTCACGATAGTAAACTACAGTACAGAATGGCAGAATGGCAGTAAAACAGTTCAAATAAATCGTCGAAATGCGAAATAGTTATTGATACGGCAACGAACCTGATTTAATCATATATAATACCATAAGTAGTCGAAGTATTGTCGAATATTTTTGAGGTGCTGTCACGAATGCTAGTTACGCTGATTAATACCACGAGCGCTTGCGCGAGTGGTATTAAAAGCGTAACTAGCATGAGTGGAGCAGCAGCTCAAAAATAATCTACAAATACTTCGACTACGAATGGTATTCGGAGGACTATTCAATGAATCAAAAGAAAAATTAAGCATAAGTACCCACGCGACGCGAATGTATTTCCATGACAACAACAAACGTCAAAATAAATTATGGAAGTTGCTTTTCATTTTGCTATTGATTCTATTCGAACTTTTGTGCTCCAAGCTAATTCGTTATGAGTGATTAAATTAAAAGATGTGGTGATAAGTCGGTTGTCGAAATTGATTAACAAACTAAGAAGAATGTTCCGGTTAATACGACAAAATTTCGCGTCATTTCACTGGTGGAAGTTTGACAAATGTCATTGAATAATCGCATTGAATTGTCACTTATAATTGCACAAGAGGTTTGTATTTTACCGAGTAAATTTGGGTTGTTTAGGTAATGAAAATCTGTTGCCTAGCAATTAGACGAGAAAAACTGTCAACTAATAAAAATGCGACACCGCAGGTGGAGCATTTTTAGGTTGACAGTTTTTCGAGTTCAATTGCTAAAAGGAAACAGATTTGAATTGCCACAACCCAAATTTACTCGGTTTAAATACAAACCTCGAGTGTAATTCGGCAGGACAATTTAACGAACAAGAAATTCACCAAACTAATCAATTATTGACAGACGTCAAACTAGTCATATGGGTAAGGATAATGCGATTATTGGTTCGAAAATGAATAAGTGAAAAAACCACTAGTGCATTTGTCGCTGGAAAAGTTGCAGGTAACTTTTGCCGCTGTCAAAGTGACAATTACACTGCGGCTTATGTGATTTTTTATACATGAGTTGAATTGTCGCTGAAATACCACACGTGAAATTGTCACTTATAATTGCACAAGAGGTTTGTATTTTACCGAGTAAATTTGGGTTGTTTAGGTAATGAAAATCTGTTGCCTAGCAATTAGACGAGAAAAACTGTCAACTAATAAAAATGCGACACCGCAGGTGGAGCATTTTTAGGTTGACAGTTTTTCGAGTCCAATTGCTAAAAGGAAACAGATTTGAATTGCCACAACCCAAATTTATTCGGTTTAAATACAAACCTCGAGTGTAATTCGGCAGGACAATTTAACGAACAAGAAATTCACCAAACTAATCAATTATTGACAGACGTCAAACTAGTCATATGGGTAAGGATAATGCGATTATTGGTTCGAAAATGAATAAGTGAAAAAACCACTAGTGCATTTGTCGCTGGAAAAGTTGCAGGTAACTTTTGCCGCTGTCAAAGTGACAATTACACTGCGGCTTATGTGATTTTTTATACATGAGTTGAATTGTCTGTAATAATATCACAAGAGAGTGAGAATAAATTGAAAATAATTCGACAGGTTTTAGAAAACTTGTTGCCAGGCAATAGTCACGAGAGCCCAAAGGGCTCGAGTGGCTATTGCCAAATGGCAACAAGTTTGAGAAAAGACCTGGAGAATTATTATCTAATTTATCGAACTCTCGTGTGGTATTCGATAGATTATTTTTTCACGTTACAATCAAAATCACTGTTAAGATTTTCTTTATAGTCTTCTCCATTCTGTTTCTTCGCATATTCAACCCATTAGTCCTTCAAAATAACGACTAGTTTTGCGGTTTCTTCCAATTTATAGCCCCTCAATTCGTCGCAAAATAATTGGAATTGTTTCCAAACAGACGCGTTGCTTATTAGGGTAACTACATATTCTTAAATGCACTTACATTTACTTACAATGATTATATTACTTATTTCATCGACTGATGATTCACTAAAACGTTTGCGATTCATTTTACGAGCTTCTTGAAAATTTATGACAGACGCGTCAGATCAAGAAAATAGTTGTCATGTGGTTGTCATTCACTAAAAACAATGTACATTGAAAAATTCTCGCTGGGAATAATGTAAGTAGATTATTCTCACTATAATAATGTTGTGATTGGCTAGAACGTATATGAATGACTGAAATTGAACATTTCTATTGGTTTCGAGAAACGTCAAAAAATAATCGATAGCATTTTTAATTCAACAGAGCGACACTTAACAACGTAATTCAGAATTTGTTTAGTGTAGTTCACATAAGATACGCTGAGAACGTTCACTACTACCTAATAAATTGGCGGCGAAGCCAATAATTCCATATTTCAAATTAGCTGAAACAATAACACCTTTTAAAATATGGATTGCCTATTAGGTAAAGGCTACTAACTTTACAAAAAAATGTACGGCAAGCAACTGACGCCCTTCCTACACTTCTTTACTTTTTTCATTATTTGCGTTACTTGACTGGAATATTTCTTCTCTTTTAACAATAACTACCGAAACTCGCGTTGTTATATTTTACGTTCCAAACATAAACACCGGTGGTAACGGGTGTCCAAAAATTGAATGTGGTTTCAATCTTATTAAGTGTTCCGCACCAGTAGCAATGGCTTCCCAATTGGAATCGAGAGAAAGAAGTTGTCCTTAGGCACTAAAATTCCGCTTACTCGTCTCTCATGAGCAAGCGAATGACCTAATGCTAAGCTAACAACGGCAACCAAATAGCACTAATTAAGAAAACGAAATGTGATTTAAATCGCGGACATCTCGGCTCGAAAGGCTTCTGAAACAAATCAAGCGGCGCAAAAAAACGCATCACTTCAATTTCCACTATGAGTATCATTCCAAATTTTCCAATTCAGCCCGCTAAATTTGGATATTCTATGAATATCTACGATATGTAAATCCCAAACTACTCAAACCCCTAAAGTTCCAATTTACCTAAATCTCTAAAAATAAAAAAAATTCAAATTCAATTTAAAAGTTACATCGTTCTGCCTCATGTACCGAGGATCGCTCTTGCTTCGAGTGAATGTAATGCACTAATTTTGTTTGGTTCGAAAATAAAAATCAGTTCCACACTGAAACCTAACAGTGTCTTTGACTTTGGGCGCAATTTTTATGGCGGTTTTGTGATCATGAATAACAGTATATTTTAGTCATCTCTGATCTTCGAAATTCGAACTTTATCCAATAAACTTTAGGCGCCCCCTCAAGGGATGCATGCAAGGATGCCGACATTATGTTTCACAATGTTGTTGTCTTGGATTTTGTACTTTATGAACATTTATGCTAATTTTCCATTGTTTTTGAAGCCTTTTTGCCATCTACGGTCAAAAATCGGCTGCCATCTGCCGTCTTTAGCAGCATCTTTTCTTAAAAACATAAAAAAAAACATTGTCAGTCGATTAAAAAAAGTATATTTTTGTGAGTAAATTACAATGTTTTCATGTTGTTTCAAACATTGTCTAATGTCTACTCTTAAAGTTAAACGGAAATCTTTTATTATAACCGAAAACCTTAACCAAGAGTTTTGCCCCTTCTAAAAGTGGTGTAATTTAGCTGTGCGAATTAATTAAATTACTCATTGTCAGTCAGTTATCTTCTAAAAGTAGAGACGCTTTAAATTAAAAGAAAACAGTTTTGATTTAATACATTTCAATTCACCTTTTCTACAGTGGGATGGATACCCCCGCCTCCTCTTTTAATTCTATCATCATGGAAACTTGTTGGGAATAGCGCAAATGAAAGTTTAATTAACAAATTCCTGTACACCTTTTGTTGCTAATTTAGTAGATACTATATTAAAATCGGTTCGGTGTACAAGGCAGATCGATGCCTTAAAATATAAGTGATCTTATCTGTTCAGGGATGATAAGGGTGTAATGTAAAGTCCTTACCGAAAATCGATCCCGCTCGCGTTTTTAGAATTCAACTACCAGTAGTTCTAATCTTGACATCTTATAAACATAACGTATAGAAATTTTTCTCGATAAATCTTTCAAGCGACAGCATTATTTATAAACTAAATTGTTTATAAGATACCTGATTATGCAGACGAACATAATCAAACACAAATGGTACAAGCGTATACAAAGCAGCTCAACTCACGGCATGTTTTATTAAGCTTGTACGTTTGGAATGGAAAATAAGCCGAACTTTCGTCTCCTATGTATGTTTTACTTGAGGATCTGGAGAGAGTAAAATACTTTAAAAACCATACAGTTTGGGAGTAATAATTCAAGTTTCATCGCCGCCTTACGCCTAATAAGTTAGAAAAACAGTGAAAAAGTGTAATATTCTGAAAATCAGTTCTTGCCTTACAGCTTTTTGAAAAGTAAAGAGTCTCTTATCCTTCGGAATTTAGAAGTTGACTGCTAAGAGGAAAGATGTACTATCTATGAAAGCATTCTCTCGTAAGCTGCACGAGTAAAGAGGTGCTTTGATACGAAAATCCTTTTCAAAATGTGACATTACCGAAGACAAGAAGGTCAAGTTGGGAACGGCGTTCATAACTAAATTTTGCACAAAAAACGGTCAGCAAAATAGAGATAAGAAGTACATTTACAAGTTTTATGCTCGACGAAAAATGGGCGCACGTGAAGTAAAATTCTCGCGATCTACGGCTTTATGTAATAATCTCAAGTAGCGGTGATTCAAGATGGCACTCAACACGTTGTATGTGCACACAAGTCATGTTTGAACATAAACTTTATGGGACGGCATCCGCTCTTTAAAAGTGGCCCACGATTGTAATACCTTTTGTTGTTGGCAGTGCTTAACTAAATACTCTTGTTTATATTGCAAATTGGAGTACCAAAGAGGATAACAGATGGCTTTCTATGATCTACCTAAGGACTTATAAGATAGATCGTCACCTAAACAAGAACTGAGAATTTTAGGGTCTTACATATACGACACAAAATTAATTTGAAGTTTACGGAGAGGGCATGGATAAAGGTGCTATTTTTGAGTCATTTAACTTCTTAGAGTAGAATAATTCCATCATCACACACAGATTCCCTGATGAGAATGGCGCTTATCTATCGAAAAGTTTGGTCTAGCTCAGTGTTTCTCAAACATTTTTGTCTGGCGGTACATTAACATTATTAAACAAAATTCGCGGCACCCCTAAGTGTAGACATTATTATTTTTTACAGTTAGTAAAGATATGAAGGATGAGAAGTCTTTAAAAAAATAATTTTTTGTTAGTAAGTTTATTTCTAAACACAAATACATACAAAAGTTACTATTTCAAATGTGAAGGAATTTGGCGATAAATTGTGAACTTATGCTACTGATGGGGTGTGCATTTGTTGCTTGGTTATTATGTTGTGTTTTTGAAAGACGTATACCCTCATCTCATTCTCAAGGACCTTTAAAATTCCTTTGTTAAGGTGACTTGTTTTGGACGGGAGTAAAATCATCTCATGCGTAAAACTCGGCAGCCGAGTGCGAGCTCGACTCGCTCGCCTAGCTCACAATTGTTTTAAGCGAATTTTTCCATTTGAAAAGACATATGGCATTAGTAATTCGTAATAAATGAAATGATTTTAATATTATTTTTAATTATACAAGATTAGTTGAATATATATTGAAAGTGGGAGTGAGAAAGTGAGATGCAATGATCCAGCGTATGATTAATTAATGAATTATTTATGAACCATAGAAATCAATAAAATAGAAACTCAAAAACAGAATTGTAATAAAAAACGAAGATTCATTTTTTATAATTGTTTTAATTCCTATTCTAATTTAGGTACGTAAGTTTAAGTTAATCATGTATTTAAAAATGTCACGGCACCATTATTAACTACTTGCGGCACTCACTTTGAGAACCACTGGTCTAGCTAGTGCATATGGGGAGGTAGACGGAGCGGGGAGAGATATTTTGTCGTGCCATGTGCATTACTTTAGAGAACTTTTTACCAACATTTCAGATCTTCAGTAAAAGTAGAGTGCGTAGTAGAAAATCCGAGGTCCCAAAAAAGTTGTTATGCTGCTTAATTATTTTTAGAATATAACATGTTTGTTTTTACTTTTTGAGAATTTTAAAGAGAAGGCATATAGTAAATTAGTGTTATATTCGCCCTGTCAGTTCGCCAGGTCTGTGAACCGACATCGAAATAACCAATTTTTGACCAAATTTTCGCATTTGGGAAAATGCGCTAAAAAAAGATTCTTCAATAATTTTTCAATGATTGCCGACGGACTCTAAATAAATATGTTTTAAGTATATTTTTCAGACGTTTTGTAGACTGTCTAAAGATTTGTGGAGGGATTTTTTATAAGATTGTTGTGTTTTAGTTCATCTTCAGAGATTCTCACTAAAGGTTCTCCCGAAGTTTTTTCAGTGCTTTCTATATAGTACAAAATTAAGAGGCACATTGCGAAATGTTTATTGTTTTGCGTTATCTTTAAAAGATTTTTATCCGTTCTTGAGCGATCTTTAGGAAACTTAAGATTATCTTATTATTATAAGATATCTTATAATTAAAGAAAAAATTTAAAAAATAAACACTGTCCTAGTCGTTGGCAGTACCTATCATTAGTCTGTAAAAAATCAGCTTCCTTCATCCAACCGTAGAAAGTTCGTGAAAAACCGACTAAGAATTATTTTCTACAGAGTTATCATATGGTCGCGATTTCTTGAAATATTTTTTTAAGGCTATTATCAACGTTTTCATTTGGTGTATTAACTTATTTTCTCGAAAAACAACCTTTTAGAATTGGTACCGCAAGAAGTACCCGCAGCGCCTTAAGTAATATTACCTGAGGCGGCAGACGGTCCATTTTAGCATACTCGGATAGGTCAAAGTAGAACTCCATGGGTTAAAATTTTGATCACTCTCGTTCAGTGGATTTCGAGTTAGCTCCCTTACTATGGAGACTGGATGTTATTGTCATTTACCTAGTAAGAATATATACGAGCTGTATCGCTTTCAAATATATACCTATACAATGGAGCAAATACCGGGTGTTCCTCAACACATCAGGTAGTTTGAAAGCGGAAAATAAGTAACTTCGTTACAATTTACGGTGGTTTACTTACTTGAAATTGATAATAATAAACTCCGTCATAACTCATTTGGCACTGTGTTCCCCCTCTCGAACAGTTTGATAGGTCATAAACCAAACTTTTTTTTTCCTGTTCACATTAAGTAATGCAGCTTGAAATGCACTTACAAGTATTTGTATACCAGTTCCAATTGTGATTCGCCAAGATGAGAATCCGCTTCCTCAATTCAAAATTGACCATTGTCAACGAAACGAAATTAAATGTAACATTGCTATTTTTTGTTTATGAATTTACTCATTTGTTTAGGAGGGAAGATATGCAAACTTGATTAAGGTTTGTCCTAAACCGTAACAGTATTACTTACAACCACTTTAATATAACTTTATTACAAAATGCGGCATCACGTTCATTCTCTTAAAACCATGAACTGGGAAGTTCAAAATTCAAATAGTCCCTAATAAATATCTAAGTAGTAGTTTCCTATCAAAGCAATACTCAAGAGGAAACCTAAATAAATCAGCTCCATTTACCTACCGAAAGGGGCATCCCTAATCCTTCTTATTGATATATAGCGGCTGTATCTAAAAAAAATTAAACATTCCTCACACTCGCATTAAAATAAAAAAGTTTTACTTCCTTTCATCGAGACTTCGATTAAAACAGAACTCGTAAAGTTCATAATTATTCTTTGTTGAATTACAACCTATTCTTGTTCGGCAAAAGAAAAGTCTATAATACTTCAAATGAAAATGGCTTTGATTCGGCTCAAACCCTAATTAAGGCTTCAATATCAGGGTATCGCTTTCACTGGGGATACGCTTTTAATTCGTGGCTGCGGGAGAACCGATTTCCAAGAAGGGAATTCCGAGATGCTTTACCACAACGTGCACAAAAAAATTTTTACATTGCCACCTGCTACTCAATTATATCCAGCCCACGACTATAAAGGTTTGACTAGTACAACGGTCGACGAGGAGAAACGCCTTAATCCGCGTCTCACCAAAAGCCTCCAAGAATTCGTCAAGATTATGGACAATTTGAATCTGCCCTATCCAAAAATGATTGGTAAGTAAGTTTAATTAATTTCAGTTACGTTTAGAATTAATCGATTTAGGGGAAACCCTGCCTTTTGTTTCCGTGGCAGATTTATCGCGAGTGCTGCACGTGTAATGCGCGGTAGTGTATTATAGAGATCATTTTTTACTTTTATTAGGATACGCTGCGGTTCGCAATTCTTGCCTCTGTTTTACGCTCGACCAAACAGATAATATCCTGCGGATGTTTAGCCGCTTTCAGTTTGGAAACTAGGCGCCCTAAAACCACCCCTGCAACTGCCAGATGTATCGAAACAGTTTTGCTATTCGCGAACATTAAGGGCTATTATCTGCCGTTTAGTGCCCTTTAATTGATCAAACATGCTGGTGAACAAGGCGGCTCACATTTTGTACAGTATGGCGTCTCTTTCGTGTCAAGCATATCAGTCTACGCAATCAATCGCCCATTTTGCAGTATCGTTTGTCGAATTGTTTGTTTCGCACCCGTGAAAATCAATTAAATTAAAAGTTTGAACTTTCGAAGCTCTTTATTATATAACGTAGATGGGACCTTTACTTAATTACGGTGACATTTGCCAGAAATTATACGTTACTGGCGTCCTTTTGCAGTAAATTAAAACGGGGAAATAAGTTTCGCTCAATAGATTGTACGTGTGACAGTTAAATTACACTTTGACTTTTGTTTCAGATAAAGCGGTTCCTGCAAACAAAGTGTGTGGGGTTTTTGAACTATCCCCTCAATAGATCAATATGTATCCGGCATTACGACCTATGGCTCATGTAGACATCGGAAATCCATTGCAATATTCTGCACTTTATGGCATTTAGTTTGAAAGGGCGAGTTTTGTGGGGTGTTAGTTGTGATTTTCTTTATTATATGTTCTTGTACCTTCATTTACTCTTATTCTTGTACTCCGTTATATAAGATGTTAACGTATTTTTAATAAATGCTTTACAGTTTGCCGTTTTCGGCGAGGTTTGAAGTGCACGCTTTAACAGAATTTAATTATATGATGCTAAAGAAGAATTTGCAGGTGCAACTACGTTCATGACTTCGCGTCACGTCTACATAATTGAATTCTAATACAACTTAATTGTACGAGACTCGGTTGCATTGCAATTTCATCAGGCGAAATTCCACGCGAATAATGAAATTATCCAGATCGGTTTTGAAGAGTGTGAGAAAAGTAGCAATCGCACTAATTTTTCAAGTTGATAAATTAAACCTCCAGGTTTGACAAAAAAGTAATCTCCAATCTTAAATGTAAGTCTTATTGCGAAAGAATCAACGATAATCAACCTCTAGACTCCCGATGAATGAGTGCAGTATTTAATAGCTCATAGACGTTTATATGTTAAATGTTCCACTGTATAATGCATTAAAGGAAGTTGTATAGATTCATAAGATATACTTACAGATCATGTCTAATTACTCTATCCATTTATTGATTGACCTTGCCCAGTTTCATTAGATTTCAGTTTGTCAAATTCAGGAAAACACCGATGTATTTATTTATTTATTAATTTAAATTGCAGCATAACGACCTTTCCTTAGACCAGCCCCATCTAACAGAGCAAGAGGGAATTCTGATTGTACGTTGAATTTTAGTGAAATTCAACTACTCACTTGTTTATTGTTTTTTTTCACTTTGATGCTTTTGCCGCATTTGCGGTTAGCACATCTGACTTTTCAAAGTCAAAAAAGTCCATGTAAATAAAAAACCAATATCACCACTTGATAAGAAATGAAAAATTATATTAAATAGATATGTCGGAGCACTATTTTTGCATTTTCCAAAAGTTACACGAAAAGTAGCCGTTTTGGCGCGGCCGCTGGCGTCGGTCTGGTTGGTCCTACAGATTTGGTTGTTACACGTTAAATGTATAAAATTTTGTGGACTACAATTTTGTATAGAATAGTTTTTCTTTTAAAACGTACCGTTTTTGAGTTATAGGCGAAAATGTAAAAATGCCGCAAATAATTTGCGGTTATTTGCGGCTGCCGCAGTTAGCTCACCTCTGGCGTGTTAGCAAAGTGAAAATTCGGATTCAGCGGTTCAAAATACATATAAAACCGTTGAGAAAAAAACTTCGGGAATTTTTTCCTGGAAACGTCAGTTCTGGAGCCCCCGTTATTGTACTAATAATATTATTGCCGTTACAATTAGAAAAATTAGCCGGCCTATCACTTCTCGAACAGCCATTTATTTTATGTCAAATTCAAGGAAGTTTAGACCTCAAGCATTTAATAATTTGCGATGACGAACAGAATAACATTTTTTAAATACTGCAAACCTCCGTTGGCCCTTCCAGTTGATCTTTCCATGACAGTATTTGCGCTCTTGCAAACACTATTTTGCAGTCCTTTTGGTAGTTGTTTGGGATTTTTGTTTCGTAGAAGAGTCAGTTTTCACGTAGACTAAATTTCAAAATCAGTGATGTCATTAAGGAATATTGGTAAGTTGTGGTATCCGTTGACGTTCCAAGCTAATAACCTTGACGATTGCTTGAAGACTGTTGTGTAGGGATATCCTTTTTTGAGTTTTTTGGAGCATTTTTTTCAGGTGAATTGTACTCTCGACTACGTTTGCCCACTATTGTTCGGGTGTTATTAAAAAAGCGCAAGGAAGCATTTTCGCCTAGGTTCTTTCTTCTTTCCATTTCAGCATAAGCTTCTTTGCATTCCTTGATTTGAAAGGGAGTTTTATCATTTTTCATTTGGAGAACAGGAAATTGGTGGTATTTTGCTTTTAGATTTTAGGACTTTTAATGCATCATTGGCATTTTTGAAAATAACTTAATGGTCTGGGTTTTCCAGCCGTGGGTTTTCCTACCCTAAGCGCATATTCAAAATTTATATGGCCAAGGGAAATATCCTTCAAGATTTCGTTAATCCGGTCTTCCTGTTGGACGGGTTCAGTAATTCCAAACATAATCACATTTTTTTCACGGATCATACGGGAATGCACCTCCTGGACAACCTCGGACTTACTTGAATTGAGTTTGGTTTCGAGTACGGCAATTTTTTTATGAAGAACGACGTTTTCTTGCTTCAAGTTGTTAATGTTTTGTACGCATTTGTCGATTTTCTCCCCTTGTTGCAAAATCGTGGACTGCATTTCAGATATATTATAGTTTAATTGGGTGAGTTGAAGTACGATGGTATTAATATCGTCCAGTTTAGATAAATTACCTACAATAGCTTCCAGCTGTAGCGACAATGATCCATTGCAAAAATATTTATTAACGGAACGCTAAGGTCAAGCGCGTTATCAATTTTGCACTTGGGCTTATTATTGATAAACTTCAATTAGATGTAAATTTTATATGAAAACAAACGATAACTATCTCACCAAAGCAATCCAATCTACTAATCGCACGTAAGTTTAATAATCTTTGTCACTTTTTCTCAGAAAATTAGTTTCATAATTCGAGCGCGTGGATATACGTGTGCACACGACGGCGGTACCAAACGTTCCCCACAATAAATAAATACCAATCCCGTGTCCTAAACTTACGCCCCAACTCACCAGCATTGCTTGCATTTTTTTAAAATAAATTGTTTAATTGTAAATTGTTCGTGGATTTTCTGTAAACATGCAATCTTTTAGAATCTCACACCATAGACTCAACAAATTGTTGTTCTTCTGAATCCGGCATTTATAAAAGTACTTACCTATAGGCCCTATAGCATTGAATATAATTTATTCAATGCCTATAGTGACTGCTCAGCCTGTTGCGGTGGTCAAACTATCCGTAGATAGACCTGCAGAAATATAAAAGGGACTTTTTAGCGCCTTTCATCGAAGGATTGAATGTTATTATTAGCAGACATCAGAACGGACAGACAGAAATATGAGCCAGTATATTGCCTCTTTAATAGCATTTGTTTGTAAACATTCGTGATGTGAAGTCTGTTGCAAAATATTGATTTAAATTATTAATTATATTAAATTAATTTAAATTAACGAAAAAAATAAAACATTTCACTAAAACTTGTTAATCGTATGTGAATTGAAATACCTACACGAAAGTAGTAGGATATCACAAATACTTATTCTGAACTTTGTGAAACAATATTAAAACCACTCTAAACTTGAAGCTTATGCTAATGATACTTTATAAATCATTCAAAATTTCTGAAAGATTCCAAGCTCCGAAGGCACAAATTAAGATTCGAAAACTCACACTGAACATTTGCGAAAAAGTGTATTTATTACGCGTTGCAATTACAAAATGTATCGCTGAATTCCTTCTCAAACAAAGATATCAGAAATTTACAACTGAAATTTGCAGTAAAGGTTTTGGGAAACGCAGCACAATTTCCTGACGCATGTTACCTCGGCAATTTTACCGATGACACTAATTATCACTATTTTTGACCACCATTTTTGTCTATTGTTATAAATAGATTTTCGTGTTGTACACACCTACAGCGGTATAATTAAACAAGAAAATTAAATTTGAAAGTGTCTTTAGTATCAGTGCGCCACAAGTCGGCGAAACTTATTGATCATAAAACTTTACCTACAAAGTAGGAAATGTTGAATTATTGTCGCATTTATTTAAGCTCTATTTGCAAAGGTTAATAATTAGTGAAGTCATCTAATTAGTTAGCTACTTCCTGAAGTTTAATGCAAACATCGGCGACATGTAGTAGGTATAGCATAGTGGTGCAAGTACATGCCATTTAAATTCAGGAAGCTCACATTTACTTCCGGTACATCGCGTTTGCCCTTCGCGTGGAAATTTTCAGCTTGAAGTCGAAGTTATTTATAGATGAATCGAAATTACATTTTGAGTTCGATGTAGAAATCAAAACCTAAAATACGACTAACTCCTTTAATTAAGATCAAACAACACTTTGCTATTTTTGACCACTTTTGCATTAAATTTCGAATCTGGAGAAACTATTCGCATCCACAGAACCTACACAAAATTGGAGATGCAATTACGAATTGTGTAGTTATGGAATCTAATAATTTCTAACACTGTAACAACCCACCTCGGTTCAACACCCAAACCACCTTTTTGTACCGGTTAGGTTGTACGATGTATCTCATTTCCCACCCATTCAATTTATACAACGTCGTCATCTAAATTCTAATTTACTTTCCTTGTGTAGGTGCAAAACGACCTAATTCTTTTATTTCGGATGACAAAAGTTCTATCCATCCTGAAATACTTCAATACGTTTTTAAACACACGGGGAACCAACCAATGGCGAGCTGTCGACTGTATCGATTAAGCTGGAATAAAATTTTGCTGGCGATTTCATTGTATAATATACAAGTCATTTAAAAACAACTATTTTGAAAATCCCTCGATCTAAAATAAGGACCAGGCACGACGCAATGGCCGCAGTTCGGTAGTCGTCATATCAAGGCAATCGATTTGCGTCGCTTGGCAACCTCGTACTATCACGACCCAACCGAGCGTCGCGACGACCATGGCCTAACGCGCGATGCAAGAGTTTCTAACAATGTCATTTACTACCATTTTAGTGCACGAACGTCTAGGAATTTTCCGAATAATTGAATTTCTTATATATACGTTATATCGCACTGCACTTGAACGAAACGAGATTAATTTACTATTGGAATTATACGACTACACAAGGCCGAAAAGAGGGTTTCTTTCGCCCTACGAACGAAAATGCTAACTCTTCGGCTTTGCTCTTTTCTCTCTAAATGAAAACAAAGTCTACTCTGTAAAGGGGAAAACCGTAATCCTTTAACAAGATGTAAGTAATAATTTCGTCTTGCTCAAAGAAAAATCTTTGCTTAGATTTTTGGTACAAATGATTCTGTTATTTTATTATACGTACCGAAAGACTAATTTATCTAATCCCCTCAGAGTTTCATTTTTAGGCGTTCCTACTACATTGCGTTAGTTTGTAATCGCCATCGTCAGTTGGCATATTTCTCATAAATTGAATCGATATACTTTTCAAGTAGCTACCATTTG